CAGCCCTCCCCTCTCTCCTGTCACCCAGCCCTCCCCTCTCTCCTGTCACCCAGCCCTCCCCTCTCTCCTGTCCCCAGCCCTCCCCTCTCTCCTGTCACCCAGCCCTCTCTCCTGGCTCCTGAGTCAAAGCTGAGGCTCCCAGCACATAGCCCCCCTTCCCTGCTTCAGACCTCCGAGCCTGTCACTCCGCTGCTGGCGACCATCACCCCAACGCCCTGACACTGGTGTCCCACTGTCCCCTCCTGACCCCTGCTGCTCACCACAGTGGCTCAGAATCCTGCGCTTCTTCCCACAGTATTTCTCAGTGTCTGCATGAGGTCACGTGTTTGCACCATGTCTAGTTACACCAGAGTGTGACCTGAGCGTGCCCTGTGCTCAGCATGCGACACTGACACTGTGGCTGGGCAAGGCCTGGACCCCCCAGTCTTTCTCTGGATCTCCTCTGGGGTCACCCCCTGCCCACCTGCCCCAGATGATGTGCCCAGCGACACTCTACACAGTGACAGCCAAGTGTGTGTCACTCGATCTTCACAGACAATGTGGAGTTCTCCCTGTGGCTGTTCTCCCAACAGTCTGTTCAAGGAGCTCAACAAACACTCGGCCTCCAACAAGCCAGCACTAGAGGAGCCAACTGCGCACTTACCGGCTTCTGGCTGCGCTGTCTTCTCCTTCTTGGCGCCGCCAGGGTGGGAGCGCTTCCGGATCATGGACATGAGGGAGCTGCGGGGACAAAGCACCCCAAGAGGTGAGTGTGAGCTGAAGGGGGGGGGGGTCGGCATCCAGGTCAGCACCCAATTTCTGCTGCCGTTCAGACCGCAGGTTTCACCAGTTCACAGGGAAATGTCCGAGAGTCCTGTGTAAAACTCACATGACATCAGCGCGGTGGGCCTGACGGCCAGCATCAGTGAGCACAGCCTTAAACAAGGGAGCAGATGCGCAAAGTTCCCACTTCATGTGTTCAAGACAGAGAGTGAGTCACCCAGGAGGGCTGGTGCCCCAGGAAGGGCGGAGAGTGAGTGCGGCGGGGTCAGCAGAGCAGCCAGGTCAGGAAACACCTGCTCACAAACAGGCGTGCACCTGGAGACAGTCCTCCTGCACCACCTGTCTCTAGCTCTTAAAAGTGCAGTAAAGTCCACGATACGACACTCTCCAAGGCCCACATGCCACTGCGATGCACCGTGGGCAGTGAAAGGCCGTCGGCACACAGAGGAAAAACGGATCAAAACCTTGAAAACCCAGGAAAACATAAGCCAGCTTCCGCTGTGGGAAACTGTCGGGCATTATCTCTTTGAGCTGGAGATCTATGCACGAGCCAGTGACTGACCCACAAGGTCGGGTGTGTGTGCATGTGTGTACCTGTGTGTGCCTGTGTACCCGGGTGTGTGCCTGTGTGTGAGTGTGTGT